CTGGAATTGCTCGTTGATAAAGTTGAGCAAACTTATCACTACAACACTCTATAAAGCTTGAATTTTGTATTTCTATACGAATCGTGAACAGTGAAGAAGAAAAGAATACTATAACAGGTGGACCTCTCCAAGTGATAAATTGCTTTTGAGATGGTACTTGTACACTCTAAAAAGAAGAGGTATTTCAAAAAACCCTAAATTTTTCCATTTTTCATTTGAGAAAAACCAAAAAAAAGGTATAACCATTCGTAAAAACATTTAAAGGGTATAACCATTTGAACCATATCATAACTGGTTGAAAGTCTCTTATTCTTCTCAAAAAACTAATTTTCGTTTTCTAAAATACGGCTAAATAATGTTCTAAAAAACGGTTGAGGTTTCTTCATATCACAAAAAAACCTTTCAGGTATTTTAAAATACCAGAACAATTCAGGGTTTTTTAAATCACAGCTTTTCGTATTCTAAAAACCCAAAAGCGTTTTCTTATAAAAGTAAAAAACGTTTAAACAGTTATGATATGATTCAAATGGTTATACCATTTTCCGTATTGTAAAATACCTTTTTTTTAGAGAGTAGAGCCTTTAGGGACTAGAAAAAACCCGAAAGTATTCGTCCCCATGAAATTTTGTTCTCGAGTTCAGACTGTCTCACTGAATTTTCAGTTTGTAACAAGGTATTTCGAGAAAAATCGAATACCGCAGTTTACGCCGAAACTATGCTACTCGATTTTTCTCGATACAAAGGAGCACATACCAATCGTTGTTGATCGATTGTCAATACACGTTACTCGTCTGCGGGGAACCGTCTCCTACAGGTCACGATCGCTTTTCTGGCGATTCCCAGTCAGAATACACACTATCTGGTATCGTTCTTCGACCATATTTTTATTTCGTTTCCTACTTCATGACTAAGTAACATATTACGTATAGTGATGTGAATCGCTAGGGAACCGATTAAGCTCCAATCGAGCAGAGTATAACAAAATATGATCAGTTCGTGGAGTCCGTTCGTGGAGTCCGTTCGTGCGTTCCCGATTATGCCCAGTTGGTAACATGTTTAAGAACATGAGAAAGTTCTATGAAAATCTATGAAACGATCAAACTTACGAATTCACGGGATATTTCTGTATAGTTTTAGGCTGTTTTCCGGAAACAAATAAGCCTGAAAGTGAGGCTTGTACTATTACTGTTCGTTATCGTCCGACGAACGACACTTACCAAGTTTGCATACATCCAGATTTGACTGTAGGAGAATTAATCAGCGAGGTGTGTCAAAAAGCAAATACGAACAAACAAGATCATTGCTACTTGTACTTCAGCTCACGTGAACTCGACAATTATGATACAGTTTGTAAAGCAGGTCTCTATGCCGTATCCGAATCAGCAGTTAATCTACCGGAAGTTCGTTTAAACTACTTACAACAACTTCAAACGTCTGCTCATATCGGAAAACACGTCATACTTGTATCACCGGAAAAGATAGCCCATGAAAAACTTCTCAATATTCATTTGCCTTCTAACAAAGACAATCTTCTACCACTAGTTTTGAAACAAATTGCTGAACAAATTGCTCGACGTACAACCTCTGTTTTTCGTTCATGTTACATGAGTAATACTGTACTAATACCACTACCATATTTTCCTAAAGGAGTAATTGATCATCTACCGACGATACAGATCAAGTTACCACTCATGCCAACTGAATTTGATTGGAATATGTTTCTCGAAGTGTTGGCAAACGATCTTGAGATACAAGCAATCGACATGATTATTGTTAATGCACAAAAAGGTAGCACATTTTGGAAAATAAAATTGAAATCGATATCGTTCATTTTATCTCAGGGAAAACAGAAACTGGAAAAAATTCTAGATAAATTATCTCTCTTGGTATTGCCCAAGAGTAAAAAATTTATTAATGAACATAAATCATCGGACACATCAGAAGTAGAACAAATCCTAGTTGAACTACACAATTTTGCGACGAAGAAAAATAATAAAGATGACCATAGTATTCTTTCTACAGATGATGTTGATTTTACTCTTGGTCTTTGTGCACGACCTGCGATTATTGATGAACTTGGTTGGGAGTTTTTGACAGAAAAAAGTCGTCAAATTAAAATAGGTTTATTGCATGGATTTCAAGAATGTTCTGAAGAATATGTTCTTGATCATGTTTCGCTTATATACAACGAGGAACTCAGTGAAAAATATCAAAGTTTGAAACATATAGGAAACGATGAACGGATCCTATACCATGGTACAAGGATGGAGAATTTTAACGGAATATTCGAAGAAAACTTCCATTTGGATTCAAAAGCAAAAAAGACAGATGACGGCTGGTATGGCAAAGGTATCTACTTCAGTAGTTCACCGTTATATGCTTTAGAATATGCAAAAAATCATCTAGGACACAAATTAGAAATTCGTTATTTAATATGTTGTGTTGTCAGACTTGGAAAACAGAAAGTCATTACAAATATGGATTTCTATGGTAAAGAAATGGACTCTGATTTTGACAGTCATTATGTACAAGTGGCAAAAGATGGTACGCTAATTACAGTCGACAAAATTCCAATCTTCGAAGAATTTGTTATCAAAAGAAGTAAACAAATTATGCCATTACATATAATCGGAATTCGACAAGTGTTTTCTTTTCTAATTTGGCGTGATGCTAAAATTACTGATGCAGTCAATTCAGCTATTTTTGAGGAAATGAAACAACGTTACAATGTCAATATTTATGGAATTCAAACAACTACAGAAGCTCTTAAAATATTACGTTGTAAATTGGCCAATAAAAAACTGAATTGTGTTGTTGTAACGAATGGAGCCGATAGTGGAGAAAACTTTGCACGTGAATGTCGAAAAATACGATTGAATGTGGAAATCGCGGTCTATTGCATGAGAGTAGATCATCATCAACGATGGGCTACAGTAATAGAAGGGCCTGAGATTAAGGTCGCTGATAACTCACAAGAAATATTCAATTTCATTAATAAAAAGTTGAAAATACAACTATCCGCATGCTGACTCCTACCATTTGCTTGATATTTTCTTTTGCTTATTTTATCAAAGTTCTCTTTTTTTAATGAAAAACTCGATATCAATAAAATCTGCTGACGTAAATCCCATCAATAATAATACGTTTTATAGTGGAAATCAAAATTTATGAAGCTTCAGCACAAAATAATCAGAAACGAAAAATCAAGATTCTCATATCAACAAGTGTTCGAAGTAGTTCTCCTTCCTCTTTCCAGTTGTTTGTTTCGTTTGGCAATATAGTCTTGACTACGACAGTAGTTGAAGAATGTTCGATTACATCGTGCGGAAAGTGAACTGATTGCGAACATGATCGAACTGTACAGATCTTGTTATAGTATTCTTTTCTTCTTCACTGTTCACGATTCGTATAGAAATACAAAATTCAAGCTTTATAGAGTGTTGTAGTGATAAGTTTGTTCAACTTTATCAACGAGCAATTCCAA